CAACAGCCTTCCTTCCCTATCTCACATCCAAAACAGAACTGACTCAACCAAATGAGTCATGTGGAGCTCTGCTATATAGGTGAACCATCTCTAGCAAAATTGCTAACAGGGCTTCTTGAGCTATTCATCACCATAAGTGCTGGCATTGTATGGAGAAGGAATTTTTTTTTAAAATTTCCAGTCTCTTCTGGAATCCCTAATAAGCTCTCACAGAACCCCTAATGATATCTGTGAGCCCCAAACTGAGAAATCTCTGCTAGACTATTTAAGCTCCTGAAAAGTGGGAAGTACTTCTTTTTTTTGTGGGGTTTTTTTAATTTTATTTATTGATTTGAGAGAGGAAAGGAGAGAGAGAGAGATTTGACACACACACACACACACACACTGATACCTAATAGGTATTCATTGAACTTAACTGAACTCTTCTCTATACTTTGAATTTCTGCCCACCCATTAAAATTCTGCTTGTCACCACATGACTGTAGAATGATCAACAAAGAGATTATGAAAGAGACAGAGGGGAGAAAAAGAATATACACACATTCTAATTATGGGATACAAGATCTAAGAAAGCGTACATCCAAATGTGTTACTGAAAGGTTAGGAAATCTAATTAAAATACTTGGTAAGGAGATAGTGTAAATGACAGAGAAGAGAAAGAGCTTAAAATTTTATATTGGAACAAAAATTTATTTTTTATTTTTTAATCCTCACTCAAGGATATTTTTCCATTGATTTTTAGAGAGAATGGAAAAGAGAGAGAAAGACAGAAGTATTGATGTGAGGGAAACACATTGATTGGTTGCCTCCTGCATGCACCCCAACCAGAGCCCGGGCAGAGGAGGAGCCTGCAACCAAGGTAGGTGCCCTTGACCAGAATTGAACCCAGGACCTGAGGTCCGCAGGCCGATGCTCTATTCACTGAGCCAAACTGGCGAGGGCTAGAACAAAATTTTAAAAGGCCTTAGCCAAGTTGCCATTAAATTGGAAACATTAATATGAACTCATTAATTTCTTTTTAAAGTTTTTAATTAAAATTTCAAGCATAACCAAAAGTTGAAAGAGCAGTAGAATGAACCTTTGTGTACCTATAATCCAACTTCAATAATTACCAGCTTTTTGCAGATCGTGTTTTATCTACCCCCTATATTTTTTAGAGTACGTATATTTTTGCTGGAGTATTTTGTAGTAAGCCCTAGTTAGCATTTAATCCATAAATCTCCAAAAGAGGACTTTTAAAGCATAAGCATCATACCATTACCACACCAAACAAAAGTAATAATTCCTTAGTATCAGCTAACAACAGTCCATAAAAGTTCCAAAATTATTTCAAAATGTCTTAATAGTTGGTTTGATCACATAGAGATCCAAACTATGTCCATGCGTTACATTTGATTGATATGTCTCCTAAGTGTCTTTTATTCTTTATCAGTTTCCTCTCCCTGTCCCCACGCCCCCCCTCCCATGGCATTTACTTGTTGAAGAGCCTGTCTTTTATCTTATAGAATTTCCCATCCTCTTGGTGGTATAAACCATGTGTCTCTATCCTCTGTATTTCCTATAAACTGCTAGTGAGATATGGTAGTGAGATATGGAGAATTAATTATGTTCAGGTTCAATTTTGCCCCCCAAAAATATCTCCTATAGCATCACATGAGGAAGCATGGTGTCTGGTTGTCTCTCTTTTGGCAATGTTAAGATTGGTCAGTGGGATCAGTATCATCTTGATTCATCTATTAGATAGTTCCCACTTTTTTTTTCTTTTCACAAAGATGGTGCCGAAAGTGAAATAGGAAGCTCCTGTCCCTCCCAAAGCCAAAGTCAAAGCAAAGGCTTTGAAGGCAAAGAAAGCAGTGATGAAAGATGTCCACCGCCACCAAAAAAAGAAAGAAAAAAGGAGGAAGAAGATCTACACGCTGCCCACCTTCCTACTGCCCAAGAGACTGCAGCTCCCAAAACAGCCCAAATATCCTGGGAAGAGCGCCCCCAGGAGAAACAAGCTTGACCACTATGCCATCATCAAGTTCCCCCTGACTACCGAGTCAGCCGTGAAGACAGAAGACCACAATGCACTGTGTTCATGGCGGATGTCAAGGCCAACAAGCACCAGATCAAGCGGGCTGTGGAGAAGCTCTATCAGGCCTGATGGAGAGAAGAAGGTATATGTTCAACTAGTTCCCGATAATGATGCTCTGGATGTTGTCAACAAAATGGAATCATCTAAACTGAGTTTAGCTGGCTAATTCTAAATATGAAAATTTTTTCACTGTAAAAAAATATATAAAGTTTCCTTCTCTCAGCTTTTTACTTGATGGTTGATGATCATCACCTAGATTGATTGGTTCATAAGGGCCTGCATGATGGTAATATGCTAATTTTATCAGTTCTTCAGCAATTATTAGCTGAAATAAAGAACTTTCCATTATTATTTTTAAATTTTTATTTCAATCCTTTATTGTTATTAGTGCTTAAATTGTTTCATCTTTGGTTGGTGAGAGCTCCTTCAAGTTGGGTCTTATGTCTTTTAACACCACTCACTGGCCTCTGATAGCTTTCTTACTTTCTGACACCAGATATCTCTGTTTGATTCATACATTTCCTCCCCAGCCCTTTCTCCAAGGCCCAGCGTGCTGAATGCCTTCATAAGACACGTATGATCCAGAAGGCAAGACATAAGTAAAAACTTTAGGAAACCAGTCAGTCTTCAGGAATCTGCCAGCACATATTCTCTAAAATAAAAGACAAATTATTTCATCTTGCACTTCCATTCATAAAGAAGAAAACACAAAAGCCAGTGAGGTTTCGGGGAATATTCCCTCTTGGGAATATTTGCTTTCTCAGGGACTATTTCACACTGAGGAATACTGCTCTGGCAGCCAGAGCAGGAAAGGGTTCTAGGTTGATCCAGAAGACCCTACGGTGTTGGAGGTGTCAGTGGTGGGAAACACATTGCATAATGTTTAAGGAAGATCCAGTGGGAGAATTACAATAGAGGACCCTAGGGTTCAGGAGCAAGGCCATGCCATCTGCAGCAGAGAATTGTACTCTTTTTGAGAAACAATTTGTTCACTATTGGATCCTAGTAAATGTGGTGGAAGAACTGGATGTGGGACACGATGTTACCATGTGGCCAGAAATGCCCATTATGATCTGGGTCCTAACAGACCCACAAAACATAAGGTTGAGCAGGCCTAGCAAAAATGCAAGATGGAACTGCTACATCCAGAAACAAACACAAAAAAAGGACCAAATGGCATGAACGAAGTGCATGAGCAGGTAGCCCAGATTCCTCACTTCCCACCCAAATCCAAATTGCTGCTCCGGTGCTCTTCTCTCAGCTCACGCCTATGTAGACGCAAGCCAAAAATAGCAGCACACTACAGCCACACTTAGGAACAGTTTTAAAAGACAGTGATGAGGGTCCTGGCTGGGTGGCTCAGTTGGTTGGAGTATCGCCGAATACACCAAAAAGTTGCAGGTTTGGATCCTGGTCAGGGCACATTCCCAGGTTGCAGGTTTGATCCCCCCAGTTGGGGCACAGACAGGAGGCAACTGATTGACGTTTCTCTCTCACATCGACATAGGTCTCTCTCTCTCTCTCTCTCTCTCTCTCTCTCTCTCTCTCCCTCCCTCCCTCCTCTCTTCCTCTCTCTCTCTCTCTAAAAACTCTATTCTTAAAAAAAAAACAGAATGGTGAGGGAAATTTCTGCCAATGGCAGAGCTTCAGTAGTACACCTGACCATCCACTTTTCCATCCATGGTTTGATACATGGAAGCACAGGCAATAGTGATTGACCATCTTTTTTTTTTTCTAGAATAAAACATATTTTAAAATTAAGAACAAGAAGGTCTGCAGTAGAAACATGTGGATGTACATACAGGAGTGGGGATAAAGTGTAAAAATCTTAATATCACATGTTAACACCTACCAGAGAAAAGACACCAAATAACCAACAAAATGACTCAGCCGATTGATATCAGCCAGTTTCAGCCATCAGCCACCCCAATGCTAGCACAAGGGGTGCAAGAATAAAGTGGCCATGGCAGCAGCGATGGAGGCTTCCCATGAGACCATTAGCATGAACCCCCAAGGTTTATTAGCTACTACCATCAACAAGTGTTCAACCTGATAGTAGCAGAGACCAAGGTGGAACCCCCAAGATAGCACAATTCATCAAGGATACCAACTAGCCACTTGGTGGTAAATTGACACAGTTTGTCCTTTTGATCTTAAAAGAGCCAGTGGTGCATTCTTACAGGAATAGACATATGTCCCAGGTTAGAATGTCCCCTTGGATCATGACCCTAGCTGGACCGCAGCTAGGATCATGATTCAAAGGATTGCAAAGTAATCTTTTAACAGGGGATCCCATATGATCCCATATAACATCAGACAAGGGGACCCACTTTACAGCAAAGAAGATGTGAGAGTTGGCCTACGACCATGCTTCACTGGTCATCACATACAACACCACCCAGACTCTGGAAGCCTCATGGAGCATTGGGACAGCCTGCTGAATGAAGAGCTGAGCTGCTACTTAAAGGCACTACTCTGAAGACCAGGAGCTATCCTCCTGGAAACAGAGTAGCACTGAATCAAAGACCTTCATATGGCATTGCATCCCCAAGAGAGGGAAGACCCAGGTTGGGGAACCAAGAAATAGAATCAGGAATAGCCACACTCACCATCACTTTTATGAAACTCTCCTGGTTTTCCTTCTCCTTTATTGCCAATTACTTCTCAGTCTCTCTCTCTCTCTCTCTCTCTCTCTCTCTCTCTCTCTATATATATATATATATATATATATATATATCTCCC